AGAAAGAGGAGAGGGAGAGAGGGAGAGCCCACAAACTGAAAGGTAGAATGCAGATCTCAGTCTAGGCATAGCTGTCAACTTTCAGATTCGAAAATAAGGGATCAGCAGCCTCACCTGTCCCGGGGACAGTCTATGGGATATCTAACAATCCAGGATTGCAGTGGGAAACAGCGCTGGAATAAGGGAATTTCCCGCAAAAAAAAGGGAAGGTTGACATCTATGCGTCTAGGACAAGTTATTTCTAAGTAACTGTGCATTAAGATTCCAACCTCAGTTTTAAAATAGCTTACAGTAACCAAAACAATTGGAGGAAGTCTTGTTGAACTCCTGAGTAGACAGTAGTGTGTTGTAAAAAATAAATACAGAAAGGAAAATCATCAAAGCTCTTTTGTGGTTCAGCAGACCAAACTTCCAACAGAAACCACGAATTCCACTGCAAGTTGGTTAGAAGCCAAACTTAGTGTACAGGGATAGAGAACCTCTGCCCCACGGGACCCTATATGGCCCTCGAGACCCCGTGCAGGTCATGCTCCCCCCCCCCAGCTACACTCCCAACTGGTCCTGCTGTGCAACCTCCTCTAGTGATTTTACCTGAGTGAAAGGTGTCTTTGAACCATGGTAACACATCTTGCTTGCCTGCATGGAGGACAGAGAGCGTTTTGTGTCTGGCCACAAGCACTTTTGCCAAACCTACTGGAAAGGTTGCCCTGGAAAGGTTGCTCACAAAGTTGTCGTCAGTCCTCAGTTTTGCCACTCCTACCGTAGGATAAACTAAGAATAAACCTTGGTTACAGATCACGGTTAGTAAGGAGTGATCTGAGCCACAAGTCTTGGTTCAGAGGAGGCAAGTCCTGATTCTGAGCCCCCACAGTAAGTTTGGCTTAATGTGCCATGGGAACCATCTCAGCGACTGGCTCAAGGCGACCCACTGAGCTTCACGGCGGAGTGGGGATTTGAACCCAGGGCTCCTCGATTCCACTTCAACACACTAAACCACTACGCCACACTGGCTCTGGTGGAATCTACACACATATTAAAAAAAAACGCTGTGAAAATGCTTTTCAAAAAAAGTTTGGAAAAATACATTGAATTTGCCATAGCTCACTGTCGCCATCTAGTGTCACATCCATATACTGCGCTTTACAACACACCTAAAACCTTTTCTTTGTCCTCTGTCTCAAAAGTATGTGCACACATGCTGGACTAGATAGAATGGAGCAATGCACTCTGGTGGGCAAAGTCCACTTTGGCATCCTTGGCCAATGGCAAGTTCCAATGGCATGTTGAACATCTCCACACATCACTATGTTCATAGAACCCCTTTACACGCTGGCCAAATACTCAGATGGGCTGTGTGCATCCACTGCACAAGTTGACAGCAGGGGTGGGCCCAGCCCATGCGGCCGTATGCATACTTTCGATGTTTGGGAGTTGTCTAAGCTCCTCTTCTAAAAAGCACCAACTAAGGACAACCCTAAGTATCTTGTACCACACAGACTTTCCCCTGATCATAGAATTGTGGAGTTGGAAAAGACCATGAGAATCTTCTAGTCCAACCCCCTATAATGCAGGAATATTTTACCCAACATGGGGCTCAAACCCATGTCCCTGATATTAAGAGACTCATGTCCCTGATATTAAGAGACCTACTGAGCTACTTGCAGGACGTCTGTGGATACGTTACAGCTGGAACCCTACACATGTTTAGCTGAGAGTAAGGATGTTGGAGAATTCTGATGGAAACGGGATCAGAAATTGCCGATAAATGCTTATTTGTCCCATATCCAGAATGTAAATCAATCCAGCAAATGTAATGGGTATTTGCTGTTGTTTGTTTACATTATGTTTCTTTTCCATTGAGATGAATGGCCTTTGCATTGAAGTTAACGGTGTGGAATAATGTAATGACCAAGTAATTAATAACATAATTCTACCACAGCAGACGCCAAGATGAATAATGTAGGTTTCATCAGAAGAGGAACTGCAGGGAAAGGAATCAGCGCTGCATACAACGGACACAGATCAGAATGGAAACCAGTGCCTTCTTACATTCCTAGCTGAGAGCAAGTCCCACTGCACTCCCATTGTATGGAACTGTGCTCTCAAGTGATTTTTTTTATCAGATAAATAAAGGTAACTTATCAAAAGGAAATGTCATTGCTCGCAAAAACCTTGTCAGTACCTTCCTTGCCCCCTGGTGTCCAAATTGGTCTCAATCAGTTCAGCACATCCCTAAATGCATAATTTGTTTGCTTCTGTGGAATTCCCTGTCATGTCTTGTCACATCAGTCACTACCAGAATGTCTTGCTGCCTTAAAGAGACTCAGGATAATCCTGAGTAAATTGGTTGAGAGGAGAAAAACTGGTGACACGAAATGTCAAGAGAACGCCATCAAGTCAAACTGGACTTAAAGCAAGAACTGGGCACCTGTGGCCTTCCAGATGTTATTGGACTACAACTCCCATCAGACCTGACCATGGGATACACTGGCTGGGGCTGATGGGAGCTGGAGTCCAGAAATACCTGGAGGGCCACAGAATCCTGTATCCCCTGGTTCAGAATGAGAAATGTTGACAAGAGATGAAAACTGTCTCAAGACCTTTGCAATACTCCTGCATTACTCAGGAGACTGCATGCATTGCCATGACAGGGTAAACATCAGTGGCAATTTCCTAAGACAACCCATGGCATTGGGATCTAGGGGGTCAGATCCATGGCATTGGGATCTAGGGAGTGGCCCAGGCCTCTCCATCTAACCCTCCATCTAACACTCTTCACTGGTCCTTGGTTGCACCCCAAATGCTTTTGAATGGCTAGAATGTTTCCTTGTCTTCTGATCATTCATCTTGCTCATCTGGATGAAGAATAGAAAGGGGTTTGTGAGTGAGTGTAGAAACTTACTGCACAAGGGTGAACCATTTGTGAGGTTTCTAAAGAATAATAATAATTTTGTACCTGTGGCTGCCTTTTTCCTTAAAGAGGGACATTAGGGTCACCCCCGCCACATTCCTCATACTCAACAGAACACATCTGGAATACTGTGTCCAGTTCTGGGTGCCACAATTTACTTTTTATACATTTTTATTGGGTTTTTTAACATATCAATTCCAACAATCATGTAACATAACTTCTTATCTTATACAATGTTTTAGACTTCCATCAACACCTCTGATGATTTTTCGTTCTTTATCACTTATTCTGCATTTCTTAATTTCTCTATTACTCTTAATTATCATTAACTATTAATTCTCCTCATAGTCTTTCTTGCAATATTCCAAATAGTCCTTCTTACAAAATTCTTGCAGCCCTACTAGTGTAATCTGTTCATTACAGTTACTTTTTAAATAGTTCATATATTTACTCCAGTCTTCTAAGAATCACTGGTGCCACAGGTTTTGAATCCTTCCTGTTAATTTATCTAATTCTGCATAGTCTATCAATTTCATCTGCCATTTTTCTTTCGTCGGTAATTCTTCTTGCTTCCGTTTTTGTGCCAATAATATTCTTGCTCTGGGCGCCACAATTTAAGAACGTGTGCAGCTGGAACGTGTGCAGAGGAGGGCAACCAAGATGATCAAGGGAGTTTGGAAACCAAGCTTTATTAGGAATGGTTGAAGGAACTGGGTGTGTTTAGCCAGAAAAAGAGGAGACTGAGAGGAGATATGATAGTCATCTTCAAATATCTGAAGGGCTGTCAGATGGAAAAGGGAACAAGCTTGTTTTCTCCTGCTCTGAAGGGTAGAGACTTGAACCAAGTTACAAGAAAGGAAATTCCGACTAAACATCGGGAAGAACTTTCTGACGGCAAGAGCTGTGCAACAGCAGAATGGACTCCCTCAGGCGATTGTGGACTCTCCTTCATTGGAAGTTTTTAAGCAAAGGTTGGGTGGCCACGTGTCATGAATGCTTTAGTTGGTATTTCTGCATTGCAGGGAGTTGGACTAGATAGCCCTTGGGGACCCTTCCAATTCTACAATTCTATGATTTTATGCCCATAAATGCTTTACCGTTGATCTTCAGTCCACAATATGGCAGGTGCACAGGTTGTTCTGCAGTTTCCTCTCCACTCCCATTCATTCATTTAGCTGCAGAAGCAACCCAAGGACTTTGCTGCAGGTCTTGCTGTTAATTATATTTATGAGTGCTTTGCAAAGTGCATGTGTATGGTGGGAAGCCATGAGTTATTGACATAGTTATCTCGAGTTAATGTGGTAGCAATAATGCGAGTCTCCAGAGAGCAAAAGCAGCGCCACTGACAATGCATGTACACAGCCCTTTCTGCCTGTGTGCTTTCTGTTATAAATAGCTGTGGCCTTGACCAGGTGGAGTTTGGTTGAGGCCATGAACCTGAAAAGGGGGTGGGGGGAGCCCTGCGCTATCTGCAATGCACACTGTGCAGGAATGGGGAGGTGTAGGGCAGACTCAATGCATTGGCAATGCGAGCATGACATGCGTAGAGTTTGCTGACAGGTCTGATGCCATCTGCTTTGACTGCCTTGCTTGGTTAACTCAATTACAAACAGCAGTTCCATCTTGCCTGTGGTGTCGGGACAATTGCATGACAATTGCACAGCAGCGTACAAGGTTGTGGGTGCTTAGACCCACCTAGACTAGTTCCTGGCGAATGGATCTCATTTACAGCTACAGTCCAATTGCCTATGAGAGAACAGATATGCTTAACAAAAATAAAACTAAGGTCTTTTCCTCTTGCGCTGCAACATCCTTTTCTCTTGGTTATCCCTCACTGCCCACCTCACAGCCGTGCTTGGCTTTATGTTTAACATCAAGCCCGGTGAAGCGTGCTGATGAACCCAGAAGCTTGCTCGCTTCTTTGTGATTGTTTAGTTGGTCCTAACAAAGCCATGCTGTGTTGCTTTTGGATTGCATCAACTGTCTGACCCACATAAGGTTCACCTCTGACTTGCTTATGCATGTTTCATCTTTTAATCTCATTTTACAAAACAGTCACTCAGTTTAAGTTCGTAAACCAAAGTACCTCTCTCTCTCTCAGTGTGTGTGTGTGTGTGTGTGTGTGTGTGTGTGTACACACAGACACACACAGAGAGAGAGAGAGAGAGAGGGGTACCTTGGTTTATGAACTTAATCCATTCCGGAATTCTGTTATTAAACCAAAGCGTTCTTAAACCAAGAAGTGCTTTCTCATAGCAGCGGGGGACTCAATTTACAAATGGAACACACTCAACAGAAAGCGAAACATGTTCTTATTCCAAGGCAAAGTTCACAAACCAAAACACCTACTTCCGGGTTTGCAGTGTTCTTAATCCAAGTTGTTCATAAACTAAGCTGTTCTTAAACCAAGGTACCACTGTATTTGCTGGGGGGGGGGGAGGGTTATCAAAGAAACCAAGGTCCCCTGCATTGTACTTCCTGTGCTGCCTCCACCACTCTGTGTTTAGCATGTTGGAGAGATTAGCCTTGGAGTGAAATAATTCCTTCTAGGCTGAAATTCTAGCCTGAAGAGAGTCAGCTGACCTCCCAAGTGACTCTCTAAGCCAATCAGGACACACCAGCCCCTATAAAGCCTGGGCAACCTAGTCAGAATATCAGTCACTGAAGAGCAGTTTACCAGTCTGAGCAACTTGGTTTAAGGACTGGGATCTGCTTACTTTTCCTGATTCTTGCTCTTGACTTTGACCGCTGTGGAACTTTGACCTTGTGTCTACTCATCCAGCTCTCTATTGCTCTATAGGAACTTTCTCTTTTGCCTGGCAGGCACCTAAAACTTGTCTTCTGCCCTTTGGTTCTTGTCTACACGATCCACCAGCCTGTGCAGGATGATGCCTGTTGCTTTTGGTGCTTTGTTTACTGTCAGGGAACTGACATCGGAGCCAGAGGCGGAGGCTAGGCTCTCAAGCGATGCTGGAGAAGGGACCAGCAGGGGGAGAGGCGGCTCACCAGCTGGGGAAGGAAATCAGCGTAACACCAGGGATAAAGGGGGGCAGATGGGGGAATCGGCGAAGGGGCTCCAGGACTCCTCGCCGGAGATCAGCGAGGAGAGCACGGGTCCTCCGCTACCCACGCCCTCCCTGCGCAGAAGACTTCCGCGCAGGGAGAGTAGGAGGAGACTTGGAGTCAAACAACTTTTATGCTGGAAAAGATTTAAGAAACGCCCACTGACGGATTCTGCTAGCGACTGAACAGCCACAAAGTGTAGGGCTGTCCGAACAGAAAAGGTTTAACAAGGCAACCTAGCCAGGAGTGGCACCAACTTGTGCACGAGCAACCCCTACGTTTATGACATTTACAATCTCCTGGACCTATTTCCTAAGCTCCAGTCCATCCATGACCTCATATGGCCTTCCTGATTCTGGAGTCTAGCCACAACCCATCTCAGAGCTAGACCAAGGCCTAACAATGCCATAATAAATACATTAAGTTTTCATGGTGTTGGAGGACTCTTGTTTTTGCTTCAAAAAACGAAAGAGAATAACTAATTTGGAATTTGTAGGGTTGCTGGATGTCCCGCCAATATTTGAAAATGTTGGTGGTACACTCCAGACATTTGATGACATTTGGGGCAGAGGGAAATAAGATTGATAGCAAGACAAGGCCAAAAGAAAAAGATAGCTGAAAGATAAAATGTCGATGTGATGGGGAAAGACTTTGAGAAAAAGGCCATGCAGCTTTGAAAGTTAAATATATATGTTCTGCTAACTCATGGTCAATTAGGTAGAAAGCATTTAGTCAATAATCTAAAGCAGAAGAGGTTGCTATGATATGTGAATTCAAGCACAGATTACTAGTTTAGGGTAAACCTTAGGAAAAAGAGAAACATAAAATATTCCTCCACAGTTTAATATCATGACCACGACCAGCTTTTACATTTCCAGAGGATGTGCATTCTGGGTAATATTTGGATAGAGTATGAGTTGTTCGTACTGGGTTTGTGAATCACAGCCAAGTTTTCAGTTCTTGGAAATATTTCAGTAGAGTCCTGAATAACTGCATAAAGTAAGGAACGGTAGCAAAAGGTATGGGGACAAAGAGCCTCTGGTAAGAAAGGGATTCACAACATACCATAGTCCTAGTGAGTTCAAGTCCTACTGAGTTCAACAGGACACATTCCCATGTGAGTGTGCATAGAACTGCAGCCTTGGAGAATGGAGCTGTGTGGCTGCTAGCAGAATGTTTTTTGCAGACACAAGGCCAATCAATTTCCTGTATATTTTGCCTCAGAGGTAAATAGCAGCCTGGGGGATTATTTGAATTGAAACAATCCCTCCCTTACTAATTTAAATTAGCTCTCCCCTCCACCACTGCTGCATTTCTGATAAACTATTTTTGTATTGTTATGAGTTTCCATTGCAATGCTGCATAGAATAAATACATATCGAATTGCTTCTGCTTTTTTGATATGCGGTGTGAGACAACCGAGTTTTACTCAGAGTAGACCCACTGAAGTTAACGAACCTAACTTAATCATGCTTATTAATGTCAGTGGGTAGCTCTGCTCTGAGTAAAACTTAACTGAATACCTGATGCTTATTTTGGTGTGATTATACATTTGCCGCTTTGTTGTTTTTAAGAGAGAGATTACACACACACACACACACACACCTGCACCAAGTAGAATCCCCTTTTTTCTAGAATGGGACTGCAAAAGTGTGCTTCTGCAGTCCCTCCAAGTGTCCTTATTTTCCAGGGACGTCCCTGATTTAGAGAAGCCATCCCTGTTTCTGATTTGATCCCGGAATGTCCCATTTTTCCTTAGGATGTTCCTATATTCATCAGAGAAATGTTGGAGGGTATTCTTCTGTGTCATTCATTCATTTGGTGGCTCTATTCCCAAATCAAAGGATTTGGGCAGTGGGGGTGAAGTAATACAGATAATATACCAAGAAAACCAATGTGTAGGAGATCCAGTAGCTATTTCATTAGAATATTTGAAACGACTAGTTCTAGTTGGGAAGTACTGAACAAATATTTAATCAGTGCATAAATGTCTTGCTAGAAATTGGAAGTCGAATGAAATCCTGCCAGTAAGACCACAGCTAATTAAGGTTTGGTATGCTTTTTTGGCGGGGAGGGAAAGCAATGAAGATATTCACATTATTTCAGAACTAGAAAAGGGAAGTCTAAATAAATGCTGTATTTAGCCCTCCCTTGTGAAACTGATGTAGAAATCACATGGGGAGGTCATGCATTCTCCATTGCTCAGTTGGTTAGAGTGTAATGCTGATAATGCCAAGGTCGCTGGTTCGATTCCTATATGTAATCCAGCGGGTTGGACTAGATGATCCTGAGATTCCTTTCCAACTCTACAGTTCTATGATTCTGTGGTGTCCTGACACACAGAAAATACAACAAATGGGAGTAGGAGTCTCTCCTATAAAAAGTGGTGCCACACACCCTTTTTGGCTTGTGCAACTACCACCCCAGCTTACTGTAGTGCTCAGTTTGGCCTGTTGGCTAGTCTTTCCCTTACGGGAAAGGACTGAGGAGGCATTTTTGGAGTGTTTCCCGATTGGCTATGGCTCCTTCCCCTTTTGCCTTAGTTTTCATTCTTCAAATCATCTCTCTAGTCACCTGTGCTCTGCAGCCTCCCAGGGTGTCTGTGCTTACAAGAAAACTCAGCCAGGGACAATAATGCAGCTTTGAGGAAGTATGGGCTGGGAAGGCCTCAAACTGCCAAGATAGGGTTTTCCATGGAAGAGGATACACATTCTCACATACCCCTTGGGCACCTCATAAGCACTTAGTCAGCTAAAATAAAATTCTAAAATAACTTCTCAAGCATTGTCAGAAAGAGGCAGAGGGGAGAACCCCAGCCTCTTTCACATAGGGTGAAGATTAAGTAGAAACTTGACGGCAAGTTTCAATATAGCTCCTAGAACTCCCTTTCTGAACCTTTGATCCTATTGCAGGTATTAATACTGTGCAGTTTAAAGTGGCTGGAAGCATAATAACTAACTCCATTTGGAAATGAAGCATTGTCCAGACCCATAAAAATATTATTCAAACTTTTAGTGGCCGTACCCTTCAAAACAAAACAGAAGCATCCAATGATACGTCCAAAACAATCGTACAATGTATTGTGCTGTCCAGCACAGGCTCAGCATCTTAGAAATAAAAGGTAATTCCAAGAATCCAAACTGTGTCTCTCTCCCACATTCTAGCCTGCTTTGCCTGCCTAAGGCTATGCAGCTTTTTGAAGATCTATTTACATTCTTTGTAAATGTTCAGAGAAAGACTAATAGCCACCACCGTTTCAAGATGCATAATTTGCCACTCAATACCTTTGCCATCTGATCTAAGGTTACAACACTCACATGGTAGCTAGCAAAAAACAACAGTTAATTATCAACTCAGCAAGATGGTAAATAACTAAATAAATAATTTTATTATTTATACCCTGGCCATCTGGGCAGCTTACAGCAAGAGCTCAGAGTCCCTTAGAAAAACCCCAGTGTTAGCAACACACATTTAGCCATTTTTCATTTTAATCCTTCACTAAAACACATACATTTTCCATTTCTGTGTCAATTAAATCAATTATACTTAACAGATCCTATATCTCCCCATACCTCACCTCATACCTGCCTTTTCTTTTGTGCCTTTTCTGAACTGTGATGACAGTTAGCAGTGAAAGAACTGCCTCTTCTCTTCTAATATTGTTTCCGACAAAATGGCTATGCCCCTCCAATAACACTTGTGTTTGACCTCCCCCCGTCCCCCACCCTGCAACTCCCCAAACCGGAACACAGAACAGTCTCCCCACCTGACAACACAATTTTGTTTCTCCTGAAAACCCAAATTTTGCTACATTAGAAGCCATTCTGAACTCTGGATAATGGTCCAATTTGTGCAGCTTTCCATCTTGGCACTACAAATCTATACTGACCCAATTTGCTACAATTTTCTTTTATCCCAACCGTGCCAAGTAGCAATCTCAAGGTGGGCTAAGAATCCTGCTTCTAATTTTATTTTAAGGGTGAGGTCATTCATTTCTCAGTAGAATCCCGCACTGTACATATTAGGCAGGAAGTCTATTTTGAAATCAGGTGGAAATGTTGGCCGTTGGTCAACTCCCTGTCCAGAGAAGGATAATCTGTTCATTCTAGCAATGGTTTATGATGCATCCTAATTACCAGCCTTTTCATGTTCAGGCCTATTGGATTCACTGTCACCAGTAAGACACCTCAGCAGGGTTTGCTATTGTCTCTCTGTGCTCCTTTCTCATATCTCTATAGCTCCAACTTACACAGAACACTGAGGGTGGTATTAAAATATTTTTTTTAAAAAAAATGCTTTTATGGACTGCTTTGAGGTTTGGGTTTTATTGTTGTTGCTTGTCTTTTTTTTTTCTTTTTTTTACCTTCTTGAATCACACTGGGAATGCCATGACTACCACAGTGTGACAGAACAGTGGCATGAAAATATACCCAATATGTATGCTATCGCTACTGGGTTACCTTTTACCGACAACTGGGAAACACTGGCCTGCGAGTGCTCCAGTTGGAGAACAGCCTTTACCAAAAGTGTCATGGGTTTTGAAGACACTCAAAACTCAGGACAAAAGGGAGAAACATGCTAAGAGGAAGGTACGCTTGGCAAGCCCTCACTGTGATCAACTCCCACCCAGAAACCAATGTCCGCACTGTGGAAGAACATTTGGATTCAGAATTGGCCTCCACAGTCACTTACAGACTCACTTTTAAAACCGTGTTAATGGAAGACAATCTTACTCAGCAACGAATGGTTGCCAAAGAAGAAGAAGACGACCTTTTTCAATAGTTGTAAAATTAAGAGATGAGGCAAGCATAGTGTTCCACTACAATTGAAGGCATGCTTCACAGAGGAAACCCATAATGTCAACTCAGAAGTCCCATTCAATTCACTTGGGCTCATTCCAAGGTACAGGATTGAAGTCAAAAGTATTAGAGTCAATCTCCTTTGAATGGGACTTACTTTTCAGTAGACATGTATACTGAACACAATGGGACCTGCTTCTGGGACGATATATAGGATTGCACCATCAGGGCCCATCCAGACTGGTGATTTTTGCGAGTGTACACTGCAACAACCAGTGTACTGATACAATAATGATGCAATAATTGTGGCTGTTCAAATGTCATTCTGCTTTGTTAGATGTTCTGGGGCACTTCCCAATGTGATTGTGTCATTGCCATCTGGAAATGGACTCTTGCACTATAGTGCAACCAAAGCAGGTCAAAACAAAAACAACGCCGGAACAGTTGTGGTATAAAAAGCTACATGATTTCAGCACGAAGCTGCAGAGCATGTGCTAACTAGAAACAAAACACTATGACCATACCCTGCAGCATCTCTCCGATGAAAATAGGGATGTCCAGTGTTATTTTTCTAGGGGGAAAGGTGCTGCAACTCACCATAAACACTTCGTTTGTTCTCTTAGAATGGTACCCGAGAGGTACTGGAACTGAGTACAGTGGTACCTCAGGTTAAGTACTTAATTCATTCCGGAGGTCCATTCTTAACCTGAAACTGTTCTTAACCTGAAGCACCACTTTAGCTAATGGGGCCCCCTGCTGCCGCTGCGCTGCCGGAGCACGATTTCTGTTCTCATCCTGAAGCAAAGTTCTTAACCCGAGGTACTATTTCTGGGTTAGCGGAGTCTGTAACCTGAAGCTTATGTAACCTGAAGTGTATGTAACCCGAGGTACCACTGTACTGGTGAGTTCTAGCTGGAGAAAAGCCCTAGGGACATCCTGGTCCATGGGTAGGCAAACTAAGGCCCGGGGGCCAGATCCGGCCCAATCACCTTCTAAATCCGGCCCACGGATGGTCTGGGAATCAGCGTGTTTTTACATGAGTAGAATATGTCCTTTTATTTAAAATGCATCTTTGGGTTATTTGTGGGGCCTGCCTGGTGTTTTTACATGAGCAGAATGTGTGTTTTTATTTAAAATGCATCTCTGGGTTATTTGTGGGGCATAGGAATTTGTTCATTTTTTTTCTTCAAAATATAGTCCGGCCCCCCACAAGGTCTGAGGGACAGTGGACCGGCCCCCTGCTGAAAAAGTTTGCTGACCCCTGTACCTAGTCCATGCCCGCCAAAATTTGTCTGATGAAAATAAGGACGTCCTAAGGAAAAGCAGGACATTCTGATTAAATCAGAAACAGGGATGGCTTCAAATCATAGAATCATAGAGTTGGAAGAGACCACAAGGGCCATCGAGTCCAACCCCCAGAAATCAGAAATCCAGGATTGTGCCTGGAAAATAGGGACACTTGGGGGGTCTTTATGACCACTCCGAAACATGCAGGTACAAATATCGTCGAAAGCAAAATCCCATTTAATACTTCAATATCATCATAAGTACAAACCATCATGAATGCCGAATAAAAATGTCATTTGAAAGGAATGTTACTTTTTAAAGACACGGTACCTCTCCTACTGAGTCCAGTGAGAGATAGATGTGGCATAATCCTAAGCATGCTTACTAAAAAGTAAGTTCCAACGTATTTACTTCCAGGTAAGTAGGCATACGACTGCCATCTGACAGCTCACGCTGGCTCAAAAGTTAGCCCCATTAAGTTCAATGGGACTCACCCCCAGGGAAGTGGGTGTGAGACTGCAGCTCAAGGCTTCCTTCTTTTGAAAACAGTGGACTTATGTCAGGATTAGACCACGTGACAAGAAGAAATGGATGCTTCTTGTGAAAGCAGAGATGGCGGAAAAATTATACTCCAAGTGGAAATAGAAACAGAAATGGCCTCAGTTTGCATGTTCGTCTGTGGTCAGGAACAAAAATTAGGCAAGCGAATACAATCTGCTACTGTTTTTTCCATATGCAAATGATACATAAATTATGGTCCTCCCTCATCACCACCATTTTTCTGATGTTCCCTTTGCAATGAAATGGTGTGGAATCACACAGTAACAAGGTAATTAATACGTTAGCACAGTGGCCTGTAACATTCTGAATGCTGAATTATTATTTTTTGCAGGGTTCATTTGGACGAACTTGAATTGGACTATGAACTGAGCCAGCTAGTTTTGTAAAAGGATGGACGTATATAGGAAACAGCTCCTACAACTAGTTCCTTTTAAAAATGAACTCCCCAAGCTCTGGAATATATTTATCTATATATTATTTTACAGCACACCAACTCTGCTTCCATTGACTATGTACCATTTTAGCGTTTCCTGCCTTTTAATATGGAACTTATCTTCATAAAATAAACTCTTGCCTGTGGTTTTGGTAAGTCGGCTAGACCTAAATGCGAAAAAGCTGTCTTTGCAAGGGTGTTTATATATTACTTCATTATTCATTTTTATAGGTGTCTCATTAAAACTGGAAAACAGAGACAGAAGGAATAAAAATGAAATTTTTTTTTGGGGGGGAGGAATAAACCTTCAGAGCAAATGGTGTTGTTTACTTCTGCCAATTTTTTATTTAAATAGAGCTGTAGGAAATGCGGCATGTCAAAAACCAGGGCAAAAAATCATCTTTACATTTAAAACTGCTGCACTTTATTTAAGTAATGATGTGGGATGCGGGACAGTCCACAGGCAAGCCCTGTAAATATTTAACTCAAAAGAATAATGCATCTATCCTAAAAACACTTGGGATGGAGTAAATCACAATTAACTCAGAGGGGGGGGGCTTACTTTTGAGTAGACATGCATAGGATTGTACTGTAAGCGACATGATTCAAAATTTCCGGGTTTGTAAGATCTGCCCTCCATTGCAAAGTCATGTGATTAGCAAGAGATGATTACACATTGTAGGATTAAAGACATATTGGCTTCCACGGGCTTACATGCTTGAGTCTACAGTTTCATCTCCAGAGGGACCTAATGGCCTGTGACTAAACTGGAACAGCAACCATCTTTTATCACATCACTCCAGGGACACCCACTATACCTAATAACTCTGGTGGAGAAAACTGTAAGGAATGTGTTCAGACTTGTGTCAGGGTTGTACTCCTCAAAGTTGCCCAGAGACTTACTGCATGTAGAAAATGTTTTGCACCTGGTGCAAATGAGGAGGGGGGTTATTGTTATTTGTCTAATCCCGTCTGCTTCAGGTTTGATGCACAACCAGAATAGATTCATCTCTTGCAGTCTACACACACCAGGTCCTCCATCTGCAGAGCTCAGTTTGACCTAGGATTTATTTATTAATGCACCTATCCACACCATCTATATATATATATCCCCCTAGGCTTGGTGGCTCCCATATATAAAACACCATGAGGGGTCCTTCACATTGACCCACCAGTGAATGAAACCCACTGTGCAGTGACCATGGGACGGGGCCTTCTCCGCGGTGGCACCTCAATTCCCTTCCTTCCAACTTACAACTGGTGCCATGATTGTTATTGGCACCAATCTGAAGTGCACCACTCTTTGACCAGAACTTTTTGGGGGGGGGGGGTGAGGGTCAGGAGTTTAACCTGACGGTGGACTAGTGGTAAATGCCTGACTGTCTACCTGCTGAATTGTGGCTTTGCACATTTTCTACCTGACGCTTGAATTCTTTTCAGCAAATCATCTTGCTTGCAGTGGCCCTGGCATTTTATGTTGTAACCAACTGCGGAATCGTGGACTGAAGGAGAACAGAATTTTTTATATATATATAAAAAAACCCCCACTGAAATAAATAAATAAAAATATATCAGTCCTCGAGTTTTCAGCTTCACACTTCCATCTAATCCAGCATTCCATTCTCACCATGCCCAATCAGATGCACATGGGAAGCCTACACGGGGTTGCTACCTGTATTCAGAGGTAGCCACTGATAGCACTGTCTCCCATGAATTTATCTAAGCCGCCTTTCAAACCAGCTCTGTCAAAATGCTCTTTCATAAGGAAGCCTCTCTCATTTCAATAGGATGTGGTAGAAGAGCCTGCTAGATCAGGCCAGTGGTCCACCTAATCTGGCATCATGTTATCAATAGTGATCTGAGCTGACCTGAGCCCAAGAGCACTCTGGCCTTCCATAGTTTCCAGTAGCTGGAATTTAGAAGCATTCCTGCCTCCAACCATGGATCTAGATTCAGGTAGGTAGCTGTGTTGGTCTGACACAGTCTATATATATATAAGCAGTAGCAGCTTAGAGACCAACTAAGTTTGTTCTGGGTATAAGCTTTCGTGTGCATGCACACTTCTTCAGATACACTGAAACAGAAGTCACCAGACCCTTATATATAATGGGAGGGTGGGGTGGGATTTTTCTCGGGAGGGTAGTAGGAGATGGGTGATTCCACCCCACCCTCCCACTATATATAAGGGTCTGGTGACTTGTGTTTCAGTGTATCTGAAGAAGTGTGCATGCACACGAAACTTCAGGGGTCAGCAAACTTTTTCAGCAGGGAGCCAGTCCACTGTCCCTCAGACCTTGTGGGGGGCCTGACTATATTTTTTTTTTGGGGGGGGGAATGAACAAATTCCTATGCCCCACAAATAACCCAGAGGTGCATTTCAAATAAAAGCACACATTCTACTCATGGAAAAACACCAGGCAGGCCCCACAAATAACCCAGAGATGCATTTTAAATAAAAGGACACATTCTACTCATGTAAAAACACACTGATTCCTGGACCATCCGCAGGCCGGATTTAGAAGGCAATTGGGCCGGATCCAGCCCCCGGGCCTTAGTTTGCCTACCCATGGTTTATACCAGGAACAAACTTAGCTGGTATCTAAGGTGCTAATGGACAATTGTGTATATATATTCCAGGAGGCAGAGCACAGCTGTCAGGGATTGGACTCAAGGGGACGAGATAGAGGAGAGGAAATGGTGGAGATCACATACCGCCCCTGTTCTCCTGACGCCGCAGGAGAAGAGGAATGCAGCCTTGATTGGCAGCAGGGGTTTGAGGAAAATCACAGCTCACAGATGGGCAAACAGAAGAGTTGGGAAGTGTTAGAAGAAGAGGAGGCAGAGGCAGAGGCAGAGCAGCCAGCTGACACGTTGTCACTGGAGAGTATTTCTGACCCTCCTTCTCCGAGAACTCGGTGTTCATTAAGAGTGCAGGAACAATGGTCTCAGAGACACTTGACCACGAGAGGCCACCATAAAGGGAAATGTTTTTGCTAGGAAGAAGGGAGGAGGGGCTCAGTTGGAGCAACGCCATTGTCAGGGCTTGCTGCGTCCTTTTGTCTCTCACTATTATGAATGAAGAAGAAGAAGAGTTTGGATTTGATATCCCACTTTATCACTACCCGAAGGAGTCTCAAAGCAGCTAACATTCTCCTTTCCCTTCCTCCCCCACAACAAACACTCTGTGAGGAGGGTGAGGCTGAGAGACTTCAGAGAAGTGTGACTGGCCCAAGGTCACCCAGCAGCTGCATGTGGAGGAGCGGAGACGCGAACCCGGTTCACCAGATTACGAGTCCACTGCTACTTTACTCTCTATGAATTTGTCCAATTCTTTTTTTTGGGGGGGGGGAGTCATCCAAGATGGTGTCGATCACCACATCTTGTGGGAGTGGCTTTCATAGGATATGTACTGTGTGAAGAAGTCTTTATTTTAACTATCCTGAATCTTCTAACACTTGGCTCCATCAGATGTCCACAAGTTCTAGAGTTAGACAGCCTCCGAGAAAGATCTTAGAACATGGTTAGGCTCATGGGGAGAAAGGTGGTCTTTTCTTGTTCCACAGGTGTTGGTCCTAGACGGTGCTTTGAGTGACGACACCCAGCTTTTTAACAAGGATGCTTGCGCAACCCATCTCAACCACATTTCAATCTGGGTTTTGCCATTTTACATTGCTGGCATTCTATATTATTTTCCCAGATTGGAGCTCAGCTTTTGGATTGGAGAAATATTTTCAGGTTTTCCACCCACCCCTGGAAAACTGAACTGTTAAAACATTAAAAGAATGGTTTGTTTTATTTCCCACACCACAACCTTTTTAAAAAAAAAGTTTTAAAAATTGCACAACTGTGCAATGGTCACGTCCACTAAAATAAGCGATTTTAAAAAAACTGAACAGCAATGCATTATCTGGGTTATAGTCTCACCCCAACCTCCTGATTGAATTCAGTGGAATCTAAAGCGAGGGATATGGTCATGAAGAGCCCTAAGATTTCAGCTGGCACATACAATCACAGGCGCACAGAGAGGAAAATCAACAAACAAGGTAGCAAGTCTCCCTTGCATTTGGCAGTTTGCATGCTGTAACCTTTCCCTTCAAAATCAGGTAGGCACAATAGCTTAGAGCTTAGCGCACTGCCCAGCTGAGTGAGATTTGAATGTAACCTCGGGTTTTTCAGCTTCACACTGGTATGTCAGAGCTAGGAAGATCATAATGCTGGTGCTCTAAGCCTTTAGGTGATGTGGGGTGGGAAGAGAGACATGTAATGCGGTGCATCACTTACATACAGCCCTCTGGTGCTTAGCTGTTATGTCTTCCTTCCACAGCATTGTGTAAAGGGTCATGTAACAATAGCAGAGGAGGGAATTAGGAGGAGGAATTTTGCAATTTGATTGGGGGAAGAATGCAGGGATGCTGGAGGAAGTCCATCTTTGCAAATTCCAGCAGGAGCTGACCTGACCCACACCTCCCAGACTAATGTGGAGATCAGAACTACAGTGGAATCTTAACCATGTCTTCTTATAGGTATGTCCTATTAAATTCAGTGGGGCGTATTCCAAGGTAAGTGAGGATAGGATTGCATGATTTGCCCACATTTGACCTCTGCTTGGACAATCTCCCGAGACCATTAAGTAAATTAACATGCTGCTAGGATGCCAGATTCTGCAAACTGGGTTGCACAGCTTAGGGTTGCCAGCTTTCTAGCCAACCTCTGCAGCTGTGCCTTTAAGGTTGGTTGCTCTGCAGTCATTAGTGGGTGGTAAAGATCAAGAAAAGAGCTCCCTGCTGATTTCTGCACATAAATTGCTGTTGAAGGTAAAATGCAGGCCAGGCTAGTTATCCAGTCACTTGGCAACCACAGATACAGCATCTCCCCAGGTCCATGACAATAGCATTACAGAAATTCGTTTTGTCCTGCATTCCACTTTTAACTAGGAGAATCGCTCCTTCTAATAATGAACTCAAGCAGCGAGTGTTGCAAGGATTGTAAGGGAAAGGGAGCCACTAAGAAACAAAAGAAAAGTATCTGTAT